CAATGGTGTCGTCACCGAATGTCCTGACATTTTCGGATGCAGTAGGCAGAATGTGGCAATTGCCAGTGTGGCGCAGAGTGTTATCAGCAAGACCGTCGGCGTCGAAATAGGCCAGTGGTAGTGGACCAACTGAGTTCTCGAGTACAGACCTGGCTTGCACATCGGCTTCCATTCTGGGACTAGGCGTCCATGAGCAGTCATAAATGGATGAGCCAATGTCCTGGGAAGTATCATCCGACCGTATCGTGGTATGGTGCTCCCAATTACACAAAATCACTTCCGATTTTGAGCTTGCAATACCGCGAATTTGGGGTACGGATTGATCGGAAGAAATCACGTTGGCGCACATACTCTCCGTCTCCGTCTCCTTCTCCTTCTCGTCTCCTCCTAACACCTCATCTGCCTTGTGACTATTATTTTCACGATCGCTGACGATGGTTGTAACGGTGCTGAAGCTGGGAGTATTGCTGCTGCTGATGTCGTTGAGGCTTTCGATGCTACTTACAATAATGCTACCTATGATGCTAATGTGGATGCTCAGGCTATTGATTTTTTCGGTGACAGAGTAACTGGTGGTGGCGTTTTCTTCTGCGCCTGAAGTCATCCGGGACCGGAGCAGGGTGGTAGGTTGGGCTGACTACAAGACAAAAAGGACATGAAATTGTCAACGGTCAAAGCTTCAACGATTGCAGTCATTACTTCGCAGATGTTGCCGGACTAGATATCTGACCACTAATTTGTCAGCAAACAGTATCATGGTAGGCTGAAGTTGACTGTGGGATCTTGTCATATGTCTTTAAATAGCCTGATATCGGCAAGTAGAAATCTGAGTTATCCCAATGAAGTAGCACAGGTACCTTACGATGCCATCATTTTTCGCTAGCTTATCGCAGGGAGTTAAGTAAGTTAAACCCTGCAATTGCGATCTTCAGACCATGGCTACTTACTGCAGAGGAGAAGTCGGTAAAGGCCAGAGTAGTAGGAAGAATGTATTGTGTACACAAAGGAGAGGGAGAATAGATGAGAGTAGATTGACTCGGGATAGCTCACGACCAGCTGGAGAGCCAGCCACGATCCAAGTGCGGTTTTCAGCAGCAGCAGCAACGAGAACGGGCATTGTCTG